GGCCTTCAATTAGCAGTTTAAACATATAAGCATGAACAGATAATCATACAGTCAAACAGATAGAATGCAATTTAACTTACATATACTCAATCAATTCGGTTTCCAATTTCAGTCAGTCAGTCAGTTCAGTACTTTTAATCAGTTCAATTATCAGTCAGTTATCAGTTCCGTTTAACAGTAATCGGTAATCAATCGGTCCTTAATCAGTAAACAGTATGGGGGTTGTTACAGGAACCCACCCCTCCCCTCCCCCCCAAAAAAAAGAAAAAAAAAACGCCACAAAATTACGTCATTGTGACGTCACACATTAAATTTGTGTAGGGTATAAAAAAATAAAAAAAAAAGTGACGTTTTTCGAAAGAACGCCACTAAATGACGTCATTGTGACATCACACATTAATTGGGGACGGGAAGCGAGACGGTTGTCAAAGATTTTGTGGCGTTTTAAGAAACGCCGTATAATATTTTTAGCGACATTTTTCAAACGTTGTGTAGCTATTGCGGCGGCTGTATCAGCGGCGAAAATATTACACGTCGCTATAAGATATTACAGCGTTTTTTCAAATTATCGCGACATTTTTAAAATGCCGCTAAAAAACGAATTTCTTATAATGATTTTTTGAAATCGAAAAGAAATTTGACATTCGAAACTGGAAGGAGTCTTCTTTGAGAGTGGGTAGTGGCTTGCTAACAGACAAACAAACATACAAATTATCTCATGCATGGAATTTTTGGGAAAAAATCATTATCGAAAATACTACACCAAGTTAAGTGTTAACATATAATATTAATAGATATTATGAATGAAATAAAATAGTGATTCTATATATATATATATATATATATTTATTAATCAAATATAAAAATAAATAATTTGATAGAATAATTATTTCTGTTTTACTTAACAATAATATATGGAGATGAGATTGATATGGTGACCCATTTATATGTTTGTAGTGTCTCTAACTAAATTCGTGATGATTGGAACTTTATGCTTATCCCCATTCGTGGGCAAAGGAAAGGATAAAATGTGACAATTGTGAAGTTTGTTTGACTTCGAATCATATGAGATGTGGGATGATTTCAAATTGGTTTTAGGACGGGTTACCTACCAACCAAATCAAGAAAGAGTTTTGATTTTGGATTTTTCTTTTTCTTTTCAATTTTGTCTACCAAGATGAAGCCACGTAAGCAAATTGATAGAGAGACAGACAGACCACTCAAAACTCCACCAAAACCAGTCATTGTCTAGTCAATTGCCACACGTCTAAGGTTTAATTGTAGTCAGCAGCCCAAAGCCCCTCTTATACATCCCCCTCTCTCTCTCTCTCTCTCTCTCTCTCTCACACACACACACACACACACAACATTAATTGAATCTTTGATTTGTAAAGTAAATTGTGGAAGAAAAAAATAAAAAATAACAGTAGCAATTAAATATATATATATATATAAGAGAGAATAAAATTTAAAATATTTACAAAGAAACCCCATAAATTATTAAGTACTATTTTAACTCTCTAAACTAAAAAAATGTACAAACTGATCCTTTAAATATCATAAAATCCCTTATGCTGTGTTTGGTTGGAGGATTTGGGGAGGGATTTGGAAAAGGAAAGGGAAAATGTGTGTGAAACTATGTGAAATATAGGCATGATTTATTCACATTTCACATACCTTTTCCATTTCCCTTTCCAAATCCCTGCCCAAATCCTCCAACCAAACACAGCATTAACGATGTTAACAAAAACAGATTTTATTACCAAAATGTATCACAATCATTTTACCCTTTCTAACTTTCATGAAGTGTCACTCTACCACCTTTTCCTTCCGTCATTTATGTACTCATTTATTTTGACTTTCTCAATTATAAAAATATATTACTTTCATTTACTCCTTCCCCTTTCTAAAATGGGATAATTGTATGGTTTTTATAATTAAAAAGGTCAGCATATGAATTCATAAATTAGGGAGCATGTGTTATTTGCTAATAATTGAGTGATCTTGATATAATTAATCCTATAATTTTTATTAGAATCAGAAACATAACTTTTAAAGAGATTTTACTATGTACACTCCTAAAATAGAGTATGTGATACATCTTTTATAACAATATCACAAAATTTTACAACATAAACCATAAAAAGAGCATAACTTTTCTTACGCAAAAATATAACTTTTATTTTTAAGTACACAAATTATCATTCTTAACTTCTATCACAAATTAACATAACATACTAATAACTTTCACCAAAACAATCATAACTTTCCTATCTATCATATGTCAAGCTTTTTAAGTTACTCTCTAACTCCTATGATCATATGCTTAAAGCTTGCCAAATTTCTCCTTTTGCAGTCTTCTTTAAATACCTTTCTAGGAAGGGGCTTTTGGAGGGAGGAGGCAAAGTGCCCCATTATAGGGTCTACCTTGGTCATTCAATTAGTTTATACCTAACAAGTAATTTTCTTTTTGTAAATTACATTTTTAATTCTAGTATTTTGATCAAAATTTTATTTGATTTTTATTATTTTAAATTGAATAATTTGATTCAAACACTTTTTAAGTCTAGTTTTAATTTAATCCTTTCGTTCAAGTTGTTGAAAGTTAAAATTAACGATTTTAAGATGTTTGTCAAACTCTCGAGATGTATACATAGAAAAAATTAATCAAAATAGAAAGAATGACCAAATTAAAAATGAACTTAAAATGTAGTAACTAAATTGTTCAAATTAAAATAACAAGAATTAAAATATAATTTTGATCAAACTATAGAGATAGAAAGGGTAATTTATCTATTTTTTTTGTCAATTGATAAGAAATTATTATAATAAGAAGAGAATTACATTCATATAATTGTAGCCTAATAGTTACAAAAACTCAACAACGAGACCTATAATGCGGAAGAAACAACCTACTCAATAAACAATCACTTAAAAAAGAGCCCTATAACGAAGGAGAAATGAACAATATGACAAAGAGCTCCTTAAAGAGAAAGAAAATTATCAATTCGTGCATACAACAGGGATTGATCCTCTGACCGTCTAAATAGAAGTATACATGGGTGGCCAATTAAGCTAGGCTAATTGGTTGTCTAACAAGTCGATACAACAAATCAAGTTAATCAGTAATTATATAATTGAATCATATTTTTTTTAAGAGTGGATGATCTCTCAAAATCAAACTTGTCGTTTATTTTTTAAAACAAATGTGATTCAATTAACTTAATTTTTTGTATGAATAATTTATTCATAGATACTTTAGAAGATATGAAAGTTATTGGTTGCCTTTATATTGAAAGACAAACCTAGGCTGTCATCTCCCATGTCATTGTCTCAAAATACTTTTCCATCATAGTATTATTAACATAATCATATTATGGGAAAAATTTCAAATAGAGATAAAAAAATTCAACAGACAATCCTGCCTAAAAAATAACTTTTTAATGAGCTTGCTATTCATCTCACATCACACAAGGGGCAGCCATGTGTACATTCAAAATAAATATAAATATAGGATACTCCCAAATTTCACAATCAATAGATTTTACTCAACACAAAATAAAAATAAAGAATAAAGATTGGGACCCCATTTTCCCACCCCCTTTTGACCCCCTTTCTTTTTTGATTGGTCACTTTTTTTTTTTTTTTTCTTCTTCTTCTCCTCCAATCACCACCCACCACATGTGTGGGAGTGGTGGGGGTTGAAGTTTGAAGGGATCTAGATCACTGCTGAAAAATAAAAGCATAGTTGAATTTAAGGAGTTTATACGTGTTCCATGGTTAATAGTAGAGCTTAATTAAGTTTGATAAGAAAAGCCTTGTCTACATTGATTCAGAAAAATAATAATAAAAAAAAAATTATGAGCCTCTATCTATGTATGTCAAGAGTTCTATAGAAATTAAATTTCAAGTACTTTTAAAATGTTATAAAACATAATACTGTGTTTTTTAAAATTTATTTATTTAATTTTTTAAGCCATGCTTCAACTGGTTGCACTCTTCTTGCTATTACTTAATTTTTGCTTCTTGCCACATTACTCAATTAATGCTCAAAAATAAAGAGAAATTATTAGGCTATTAGTGGTTGCAGGGAAGAGATGAAGTAGGGGAGAAGTTGTAGAGGTATGGGGGGTATAAGGGAGCTTTGGGACACTGCGGGAGGAGTTGGGGTGACCAAAAGAGGATGGGAGAAAGGGGTGTTGCCACACTACCATACGAGAGGTGATGCCGCGTGGATGGAAGTTTGCAAAGAAAAAAAAAAAAAAAAAAAAAGGAAGAGAAAACGAGAACACCAAGGATCCTTTAGAGTGAAATTTCCCTAAAGTTTCCTAGAGTGCTACATTGTGTGGTTGAGATTTACTGGCAATGTGACTTGCCAGTAAATCTCAACCACACAATGTAGCACTTTAGGAAACTTTAAGAAAAAATCACTTTAGAGGATCCTTGCTCAAATGAGAAAGAAAGGATCAAAGTGAATAAAATAAATTAATTAAAGAACGCAAATAAAAAATTGTAAAATTTAATAAGGCAAAGTGTAATTTTTCTATTTTGCCATATAGTGTCACATGATATTTTTCATTTAAAATTGTTTCAAAATTAATTTTAAGAGTAAATTAAAAAAATCTGTAAACATAAACTTTAGAAAATAATAAAATTTAAGAAAGATCAAGGATAAATTATTCATTTAAAAAATAATTAGGTATTTTTTTTAAACATTTATGAACGATGACAAGTTATTACATATTATAAATTACAATATGGTGGATTCATTTTATGATTTAATTTGCTTTAAAATTTCATGAAATTATAACAAATCAAGGTGAAGAAATTGTTTTGATTAAACTTTACTTTTCCTTAAAAAAATCTTGTGGAGAGTAATCCTTTTTTGGGTGAATAGTGGAGAGTAATCCTAAACGCCAAAAACGGAGATGTGAAAGCAATCGTGGCGGTTCTGATCTGAGTCCCTTTGCCGTTATAAGCTCTCACTTCTGTCTCTCTCTCTCTCTCTCTCTCTCTCCCTATTCGTATATAAAACACAATGCATATTAGAGGGAAAGTCATGGTTTGAAGGGTCGAAACTTCACAGTTTCGTATTCGTATTCGTATATTTGTATTTCTTTTAAAGACTTTGTATTTGTATATATGTAAAATTGTTGAGTGCTGAAAACAACGACACTCAATCTGTTGCTTCATTCCAAAACAGAGAAGAAAGAAAACCCACATACAAAGATAGGGACAGAAGGTGAGAGAGAAAGAGAGGCAACTTTCTTAGCTTCAAGATATTTGATCCCCTTCTTGTAAACTTTCTTAGCTTCAAGATATTTGATCCCCTTCTTGTAAGTCTCTCTCTCTCTCTCTCTCTCTCTCTCTCTCTATTCCCTTTCTTCCCGCTTTCCAGTATATTCTGTTAAATTCCATTTTCTTTTCATGTTCGTGTGTCTTAAGGCATCAAATTGATTGAAAGGTGACTTTTTTCCATCTGGGTCTTTTGTATTTCTTCCTTCACTCTCTCCTCCTTTATGTGGGTACTATCTCTTTCGTGCTTTTATGACTTTGGAATGTCTTTGGAGGGTATTTCCTCAATTGGGTTTTCTTACTTTCTTTGATTTTGGCCTTTTGGGACCTATTGGTTTGGTAAGCAGTTTCATCAATGCTTTTTTGTTGCCTTCCTTTTCCCTCTCCTCATGATTCAAACGGTTTCTGTTTGTTTCTTTTTCCCTTTTCTTCAGTTTGTTTTGAATTTGTTGGATGGGCTTTTAAGTGATGACTCTGAACATTCTTTTTTGCTGTTTTTATTATCAGTTTAGCTCTGGTTTCCCTCCCTTCTTCTATAAAAAATAAAAACTGGTGTTTTGTTTTGATTTTCTATAATTTTAGTTGGTTCCACTGTAGTTCAAGTTAAGGTCATTTGTGGACACTTTGCTCAGGATTACAAAGTTAATTACAGTTTTTTATCAACTCAAATTCACATTCCTTTGTGAATTTATTTGGTGGTGGTGTTATTGTTATGCTGTCTTTTGTATTCATCATGTTCTTCATACCTTCCTTTGCTCTATAATTGAATTGTTTTAATTCATAAGTACTTGTTCAAGGGCTTGCAGGCTTTGGATTCATTTTCTTTCTTTTCAACAGAGTACTTTAGTTTGTTGGGGGCTTGGTATTTGAGGATGGGTGATCACTTTGTATTGCTGGTTGATCGTTTGCTCACTGAATCGACTTTGGAAGCTGCAATCGAGAGCTTGAACTTGTCAAAGCAGACAACAACCTTAGGAACTGATGACATCAAAATTGATATCTCTTCACGTGACATACATCCAATAGATTGTTCAATCCCAAGGAAGATTGTAGAATGCAGGATATGCCAGGATGAGGATGAAGATTCAAATATGGAGACACCCTGCTCTTGCTGTGGCAGCTTGAAGGTTAGTTGCATATGAATTGTTATAATTGCTTCTCTAATTAGAAACTTTTTAATTGTTTTAAAATTTTGACCTCATCTTTTTGTGAATTGACATATCATTTTGTCCTAAGTGTTTTGTAATTATTTGTACAAAATCATGTTATACTTCCCATGAATCTTTGTTTGATCTGATGATTTGTGGTCTATAACCTCTTCGATTCGATTAAACTGGTCTTGATGAGCCTCAGTGGAACCTTTTGGCTCTATTTGATTATTTTGTGAATTTATTGTTTAAAATCATGCTATCATCTCCTGTTTACCCTATAGCTTCTGATTATAGATGTGATCCTCAAATGGAGTGTGGATTTCACTTTCCCATTTGTTATTGAAGGTATGGCGGTAGACGAGAAGAGTCTAGCAAAGTATTGAGTTGTTCAAGTTTGATTTGAAAACATAATGAGTTTCAAAAATATGTTCAAGTTTGGCTTGTTTATTCTCAAATGAGCTTCAATCAAGCCCATCACAACCTGAGCTTGAATAGCTTGGGTTTTTTATACAATTTAATAGTGCACATATGTTTATCGAGTCGAGTTTGAGCCAAGCCCAAAAATTAACAAGTTCAAAAATGTGTTCAAGCTTGACTTGTTTACATAATAAGTCAACCTTGAACAAGCTTTTGATGAGTTGAACATGAGTCAAGCGCGAGTAGCTTGGTTCGTTTTACAGCCCTAGTTGAAGGTTACTATTGGGGGAAATAGATTTTTTGTCCACTTACCCAATACTAACATATAATGCATGCAAACATCACTATCTTCTATTTTTTCCAATCAACCAGGACCAAGAAAAGTACCCTCAATTTCTCTGTTGAGCAATTCTGCTTGATTTTTGCAGTATGCTCATCGCAGATGCATACAAAGATGGTGTAACGAGAAGGGCGACACTGTATGTGAGATATGTCACCAGGTGAGTTAATTCGGTTTCAATTCTGTTTTAAATCTTATGAATGTGTTTTTTCTTTTTATATAATTGTTTTGAGTTTACATTGGAAACTATTTCTTTATACAATTGTTTCCTCAGTCAAATTGGAAATTTTTTTAACAGTCTTCGTTCATTTTGTGTGTGTTTATTTATTGGCAAATGTATGTTCATTGCAGCCATTCAAACCAGGCTATACGGCACCTCCTCCTATGTTTCAACTTGGGAGTATTCCGATGAACTTTAGGTACTTTTGTGATTCAAATTTCTTTTGTTTTTAAATATTTTAGTTTCATATGTTTTTGTTAGATTTAGTCTGTGATTCGAATGTTTTTATCAGAGGAAATTGGGAGATCTCCAGAAGGGACCTGAATAACCCTCACTTTGTAGCTATGGTGACAACTGAACCTAATTTTGTTGATCCAGACTATGATGAGTATGCAGCTTCTGAATCAAGAAGCTTGTTCTGCTGTCGTTCTGTTGCTGCAATTGTAATCTCTCTCTCTCTCTGTGTCTCAGGGTGTATGAGCGCTTGTGTATATTCTGTTCATAGCAATATCTAAAGCAGGGAAATATGTCTCCTTGGCTACTTGATTTTGACGTTTGCATTTTGACAACTTCTCTCATTTCTTGTCTGCAGTTCATGGTTCTTCTGATCTTACGGCATACTCTTCCCATACTAGTTAATGGAGCACAGGACTATTCTTTCCCATTGTTCTTGGTAAGATAATACTTAGTTCATATTGAGACACACACACACACTAGAATATTGACAGTTATGAGACTCATTGTGATATAAAACTCACTCTCTGTTACATTCTATGGCAGTTGTTGCTTTTGCGAACTACTGGAATTATTGTGCCAATATACATTATGGTGAAGACAGTGAATGCCATCAAACGTTGCCAAAGCCAACGGGTGAGTACATAGTTTTTTCATATTACAGTAGTACCCTTTCTCACCTTCTCGCCAATTAGGTTCCGTTTAGTTGTCAAGAATTTTGTATGAGAAAGTTGTTCCTAAAAAAAGTGTAGTAAAGGAAACTTTTTTCTGTTGTAAAGGAAACCTTTTTCCGTGTGTCCATTTGTCAAGAAAAGTGTATTATTGACATTCCTACAAAATCGTGTATTTTTTGCCGGACATGTTTTGAAAAGAAAATTATCTTAGTGGGAAGTTAAAGAGATGGTTCCACAACTTTCTTGTCAACTGAACACGGAAATAGTTATGGCAAAATTGATTTCCCTGTACTTCACCTTCTTTTCAGCCCCCTCCCATTCAGTTGTAGGAAAAGAAAGTAAAGTACATGAAAATCAATTTTTCCATAATATTTTTCATGTTCAGTTTGCAAGAAAGTAAAAATGATTTTGTCGGAATCTCAGCAATCCATTCATTTTCCTAACAAATGAATACACATGGGAAACGAAAGTTTCATTTCCTTTACTACACTTTTCCTGGGAACAACTTTCTCACAAAATTTCTGACAACCAAACGGAGCATTCATGACAACTGAAGGGGGCCTTGGAGAGAGGATCATCAATCATCACCGTTAACACATTTACTTGACTTTCTATCGGGTGACCTTTAGAGGTCTCCAAACATATCAGATACTTCGTCTGGCGAGGAAGCCGGAGATACTTCATCTGACGAGGAAGCCAGACCTCCTACTCTGCGGCATCTGCCTCAAGTCATTCGTGTGCACTAAATTCGGTGTTTGCTACTGCAATTTGATGAACACCACATTCGGAATCTTGAAAAAGTTGACTTTGTACATATCGTCATCTGTTTATCTTTATGATGGAAAGGGGAAAGAGAATTTGAAAGTGGTGCTACCCCCATTTCAAGCACCCTTTAAGTTCCCAGTTATACCATAGGTTCCTAAATGCAGTGTTTTTTTTTCTTCTTTTTCTCATTGGATTGTGCAGATTGTTACTGCACCTTCTGAAAAATATATGTACAGTCCAAATATATCCCACGGTATATATATAAGAATTTATAATTATTACAAGAAAATAAAAGAAGCATTAAAATATACTTTTTGTCTTATAGCCCTGTTATTCTGTGCCTAGTGTATATTTGTATGCAAGGTAGGGTATGGTTGCAAACGAATCAAGATGAACCAAGTAGTGCAATGTTTGAGGTCAGCTTGTTTATTAATTGAGCTCGAACTTGGCTCAAATACACAATTGAATGAGCTCGAGCTTGGCTTGTTAAATATTTATTGCTCGATATTGCCTTAAATCAAAACCAAAAATCACATTATTACATACAATATTATTATGTAACATTTTGCAACCAAGCTAAGCCTATTTTAGCTCAAACTCAGCTTGTTTACTTGAATTTGGGCTCAAGCTCAGCTCAGCTCAAATATACAATTGAACTAGCTGTAAATAAATTGAGATCAAGTTATTCAGGAACAATTTAATTCGGTCGCAACCTAATGCACAAGGTTAGACAAGCTAAAATAATTGCAATTTTTTTTTTTATATATATAAATATTTTTTTTCTTCATATTAACGAAAAATATACTTAAAAAGTATGTTCAGTTGATAGTTTGAGAAGATAGGTGTTGACCCTTGGGGTACCAGTTATGTGATTGTTATATATATATATACATATATCATTATCCCTAGTTTCTTGTTTAAGCAATGGGTTTATGATTGATTAGTTGAGTGGTTTTGTGGAACTCTTTTGTTTGATGCAATATACAACCATAAGTGAGAAAGGGATGAATGAATGCATTCTTGATTATGAAGAGAAAGGGGACCTCTATTTTGTTTATTTACTACTGGAAACTCTTCACTTTGGTTGGAACATAAGCCAAGGCACAATAAACCCTTGTGGCTTGTACAGAGCATCTTGAATGGACAATGTTAAATGATTGGAACTCAAGCTTGGGACAAATACAGGTGGTATTCGAATATGATTTTGATTGATTAAAACAGTAAGATTCAATATTTTTTAGTAGTTTTTGAAAAGTAACTTAACAAGTGTTATTTTATAGATGGTGTGAAATATTATTTAAAATTGGATAAGGCTAGAGATACTAAAATTTTTATCAAATAAATAATCAAATATCTCACATGGGTGTGGGGTACATTCATGTAAGGTCATTTATTTGATAGAAAATTTAAAATTTATAGCATTTTCTTTTAAAATTACCAAAATAGCTTCACCTCAAGTCGAGCTTTTAAGCTTGGACCCTAATCATGAGAGCAATTAGGGAGTATGGTTTGGCTTAAGAGAGAAGTAAATACGAAATCATTATTTACAGTTTCAAACCCTAATCCTAACTGCCACCACCCACCACCATCACAACTCTGGCCATCACCCACTACCATTCTCCCTCTCTCAATTGATGATATCTGAACAAACACTATTGATTCAATGTTTGACATCCGAAGAAATTTTATTATTAGTTCAAAGGTTGATATGCGATTGGCAACAATTCATTCAGTGCTAGTAGTCCGACCAAGGAGGAAGAATGGTTAGGATTTGAGAGTGGTGGTATGCACCGTCTACTAGGATTGGGACGAGGGAGCAACGCCAAAAAAGGGATTGGGGTATGACTAGGGTGATCGCAGATCGGGTTGAGTTGGGTGACTTCTTATTTGTTATCTGTTCAAAATTAGACGGATTGAAAAAAATCAATCCGTCTCCGTCCACTGGTTTGATAGATACGGATTGAGCAGATCATGTGAGTTCGTTGATAGATGCGATCAGTTTAACGGCTTGAACTTTATAAATTTTGGACATTTTTTTGAATTATAATTCATAATTTTTATAATCTCTAATAATTAGTAATATGAAAAAATATGTATTATTTGTCTATAATAGTCTATAGAACCAAGCATGTATGTTTTTAAGATATTATTTTTCATTTTCACAAAAATATATATTTTATTATTTCTACTCTATATAGTTACTTGTTTGCAGTTTCTTTTTCTTTTTCTTTTCTTTTCTTTTTTAACTTCATCTATGGGCGGATTGAGTTTATGCAGGTACGTGAAAGTTAATCCACCATCCGAATCGTGTTTGCAGATTTTAAAATATTTCATGTGCATTCATCCATCAAAAGACATGCATCTACCCAAAATCAATTAAGTTGGCTTGATTCGATCGAATTGAACGAATCCATGATCACAGAGTACTACAACATCGAAGGGGTTGGAGAGGATTGACTGACAAGATGTAAGGGAGGCTGGTGACTAGCGGTGGGGAAGTAGTGGGGGATGAAGATTTAGGATGAAAAAAATTAATCCATTTTGATATTTTTATTTTAAGATAAAATTATAGTTAAAAAAATTACTCTGTAGAAATCGAATGGGAAACTTCTACACAACTATTTAATTTCTTTTTATACCATGAATGAAACAAGACATACCATCCATCACACTAACTAAACAATTGTAATTGCTCAATAATGTATTTCATTTATGGATTTGAACAGACTCACAATTCCACATAAAATGCCCCCCCCCCCCCAAAAAAAAAAAAAAACAAACAAACAAACAAACAAACAAGCAAAAAGCAAAAGGACTCTGGTCCATAGAATCATTTGCATCATTTAACATATAACCTACACATTCCAACATTACATAATCAAAGGAAAAAATAACTTTGGTTTGGCATTCCTCTATCCCAGTGCCTTAGTTTCACCTCTTTGTGTGCCCTAATTTGAAGCCTCTTGTAAATCTGTCCTTTCCACAACCTCATTTCCAGCTTCTCCTCAGACTGCAACGTTAACAGAACAAAAACAAATAAATATCGACCTCCTAGCAAACACAACCCCCCCCCTCTCTCTCTCTCTCTCTCTCTCTCATTTTTCCGTTCTTTTCTTTTAAGTTTCTTGATTTCTCTGTTCCGTCCCTGCTTTCAAATAACACAATAATCTTCAGAAAAATTATATGTTCTTTAAAGTGTGCATATGATGTAACTTCTTATACTTCTGCCGAGAGCGCCAGAAGCAAGCAAGTGCTCCAAACGCACAGCTGGCAATTGCAATTGCCAATGCTGCACCCAACGGTACTACAACTGCATTTATTGAGGCAGCCAAATCTTCAGCAAGAACAACCCTTTCTGTCCCACCATCACCAAGAAGCTCGTGGCCCTTGTGCGTAGACAACAGCATCTTTCCATAGTAGCTAGCCAAGAACTTGAAAACCTCATCACGATCCCAATCAATCCGGCTTCGAGCAAGAAAACATGAAGGGCAAAGCTGTTTTGAAGGCCAAATGAATTTCGGGAATTTAGGATCACCAGTTCCAAGAGACGATTCTTCTTTCATTAATCTCTCATTGACTTTGTTATGTGCGCTCCACAGCCAGAGGACGAAGTCACGGGTTTTGTTGAAAGGAGTTGAAACACTGAAAAACAGAAATAATTATTTATAGTCAGATGAAATGAGCTTCAAGAACTAACAGAACCTAAATTAGGGTTTTACCTTGAACACATCTCGTAAAAATGTTGCCGACACTCCTCACAGATGAAGAAGCTGTGAATAAACTCACAAACAGCTGTGAACGCTATGTGGCTCTCCCCATCTTCAACTCTCACGGAAAGCGAATGCAATAGAACCCATAATCCACAGCTGCAAAATGAACGAAAACTACTTGGTTAAACAAAAATGAATCCACTCTGATGTCCGCCTCCCTAGGCAAATAAAAAAAAGAGTAAATAATAATAAAATGGGTGTGGATAATGTCACACAATATTTGGATGGTGGCACAACAATTAATCCCATTAGATGTTCTTACCCTCATTTCTCTGTCTCTCTCATCCAAACAAGACGTTCTATCTATCACCTGCTCTCGTTTCTCTCACTAAAAAACCAAAAAATAAATTAAGACAAAGTGAGTCCACCTTGCTACCATATCCTTCCTGGAAATCACCATACCCAGAATCACTCACAGAACCGTACCCCAAATCATACCCATATCCACCTTCTTTACCGAAGACCACCTTAGACGAACTTACAACAAAGTGGAGATCCACGAAGAACAAATCAAAAAATGTAGTACCTATTACCTTAGAAAATGCCTTATTCACACAATTCAGATGAGCTGATCAATGAAGTTTCTCTCTCTCTCTCTCTATATATATATATATATATATTTGAGGAACTAACTGTTATGAACAGCGTTGGGGTCAGATCATATCAACAAATGGCATTACGAAACTTACTTTCCTGGAATCTGATGACAATCATGACAATGGTGGTGTTTGGTGTAGCTGTTAAAACAGATTATAGATTATAGCTTAACAGATTATAGATTATGACTTTAATCAGAAGCTGTTAATCTGTTTGGTATAGCTGTTGGATTATAGATTTAAGTTGCTGAGTAGTGTTTGTTAAATAAGCTGTGAAGTGCTGATGACAATCATGACAATATAGTAGCTTCTTGACTCTGTACTTTAGGTGACGAAAAATCAATATGAACATGTTGATATTCAATAGGGTTAGTGGTGTTGGCACCCACCACTCTCTGCCTTGCAATTGCCCCAAAACCCCAAGCTCCTGGCCTCTCCCTCAACACTGGCGCATCCACTTCTCTTTTTCCATTTTCTTTTTGGCTCAAATTAAAATTTACTCTTTGGGCGTTTTCTTATTTGTATTGTTGAACCAATGTCACTGATTTAAGTGGGATTCAACTTTACAAATTTCAAATCTTAAAGATTTCTTATATTCTACAACTTTTATTTTGAAACATATCATTCCATGTAACTGTCAATTATACAAGCAGTTATTGAACGGAACAAAGAATAAATTAACAGAAGGAAGTTAAATGCTGTATCAAAAATAAACACACCATTACCTAAAGCCTCTAGTATCATATATGCTACCACGACAAAACATCTGAAAAGAACACCCAAAGCAGATTAAACCAATCAGGAATAACTTTGCTTATAATATCATCATTAATAAACAAAAGCAGCATGAGCTAAACTGAATCTATATTCCATAAAATTATTAAAAGAAAAGCCACCATGAGGATGAGGAATTAAAAAGAACTGAACATGAAAAACAAGAGGAAAAAAATCATGAGAGCCCCACGGTAGTATCAGACCTAGTAATGAGTTTGCAATAAAATTCCAGAGCGCAGCAGCTATAACCTGGTTGGAGAAGGCATATCCACTTTGGGAGTCTAAAACAAAAACTATGGCCTTAAAAAAACATATTGGCATGAAGGGAAATGTTCTTGGCAGTGTTTACATTCACTGATGGTGGGTTTTATTTATACATGTTTCGAGAGTGAACGGCATTTTGATAATTTTGTAATTTGTTGGACATCAACTGTAGAGTCACCTATGGGTCACATTGTGGGTCACGTAATGTTATTTAGGTTATACATATGGTATACATATGGTCTACAATCTTCTCATTAGTCAAAGTCTATTAGTTTCCTAATTTAAAGTCTATTCCTATTAAATTTAGGAGTAGCAACAGCACACACACACGTGTGCGTGTATAATAATTCTTTTCAATGAAAAGTTAGTTTAGAGAATTTATGATTGTGTGTGATTTTTCTAAGCCCTTGTGATGGTAAGCCCTTTCCCTTCTCTTTCTTACCTTCCTTCCTTTCTTCTTCTCTGCACAACAAAACCAATTGCTATTCTTGGATTCTTGTTCATAGCCATAGAACCACCCCTTACTCAGCCCCAAAACACTACCAAATCAAGCCTAAATCACTCCTACATAACAATGTAAATAGAGAAACAAACAATTTTGATATTCCGGAAGCTCCACAATAAATATGACAACCTCATTCACTTTATAAAAACTCATTTGGGGTGACTCCCCTTCCCAATGCACCCAATAAGCACATCAATTAAGTAATGTGGTTCAAGCAAGAAATGCTGAAAGGATATACAAATTTCACGAGCACATCGGCTTATTCTGCAACAGAAGAACATTCAATGATAAACATAAAATATCAACACTTAAAGAGTATGAGGAAGATAAGAGCTTTTAGAACACCAAAAATGTCAAAAATAACTACTCAAGTACTGTATAATAAGCAAAACAAAGGATGACAACATAAACTATTTGGAAGAACAAATTATTGAGTACCCACCCAATTTCCACGAGGAACTTCTTTTCCACAAATCTGGAAATTCTTTAGTGCACCCTTTCCGTTAACAATGATGAATTCTTGTCTTTTGGCTGACCAAATATCAGGTGGCAACAACTCATCAAAGTTCACAAGTAATTCTGCACTTCCCTTCCGGCACCTAATGAGCCAAGAGTTGATTAATGAAAGAAGCAGCACATTGCGCAAAGCATGGATGTAAAAAGGCTTGGTTCTAACCTCTTAGAAGGATGATGAGCCACTAGAAGTTGAAGAAACTTTATAAGTGATGCCCGAGTCTCTGATTTTATCATCTGCATAAGTGCATATAATGAGTGGGTCAAAGTCATAAACATTGACATGTGAAAAGCTACAGATTCTGCACAAACAAAAATTTACCTTATGCTCTAAGATGATGTCAAAGGCAGTTGATGTTGCCTCCTCAACATCGTATACAGCATGTACAATCTTTCACAAGCCAGCATTATAGAAGTTAAATTTTAAATTTTACCGTCATAATTCATAAAAACACTCAGAAAAAAAACAGAGTAATGCTTTAGAAGGACCTGTCCAGCGTCAGACACATTTGATTCGAGATGCCCATTCTCATATTTCTTGTCGTCCAATCCATATGAGCTGTAAAGTAAAAAGAACATTAAAAGAAGAAGAAAAACCATAGACATAGATAATATATAAAGGCTCACTTAATAAGCATCAAAGACTTAACATTGAGAAAGCTTCTTCTTTATCACCTAAAAAGAACATGTGAAGGCAGCAAAATAATGGCAATCAACCATGTTTGATGAAGCCTATAATTGAAAATTAAATTTTACCCCTAAATTTAAGATACAAGTCAATGTCAAACATGCAGCTTAATGGAGCTATCAAACACTTAATGGAGCTCTCTCTCTCTCTCTCTCTCTCGGTGAGTTTGTGCACGCACATGTGCACATGCATGTTGTATATATGTATATATACTATATGTATCGTACGTAGGCAGCTTTAACCCACTCTGTCCTCCAACCCCTAATGGATATTATAGAATGAGCTAACATATCCATTGTAATAAAGATATAAAGAAAAGCACTCTAGACCTCTATCATGGGAAAGCTAAAAACCCCACCTTAAGGATGAAAACTTCGTTCCCTTTTTTTTTAACATGATAATACTTCTTTCCAATTTGTTTCAGTAGACAGAGAAACTATTGCGTTGTCTAGTACCAAGACTATCAAGAAGGTTGTTTTGTCATTAAACTACGACAGGTTTTCTTATGCAACCAAGACTATCATAACTACTTCTCACTTTCTGATAATAACTGATCAATTACCACAAGAAGGAATGGAAGAGTAAAAAAGGATTAAATTACTCACACCAAGACTATCAAGAAGGTTGTTTTGTCATTAATCTACTACAGGTTTTCTTATGCAGCCAAGACTATCATAACTACTTCTCGCTTTATGATAATAACTGATCAATTACCACAAGATTGAATGGAAGAGTACAAAAGGATTAAATTACTCACATCGACTACCACAAGAGCTAATATGGAATATAAACACTTGTACTGGACTTTAATATTCAGATATAAAAATAGATGTGCATGAACATTTTAAAAATTAGCCTTTTAGTTTATTGACTTAAAGTGATTTGAATAAAGTTAGAAGTGTTTTGTGCAGCATTCTGGATGATATGTGAAATGCAAGTGTTCCATAAATAATCCTAAAAGTAGCTTTTTAAGTGTAAAGTCCAAAGTACCTATAGATTTTTTAACCTAACTATTCTTTAAAAGGTATGCCTGTAAATATGAAAATATTGAGGCGACCTTTTGTCCAACATCCAAAAGCTAAAAAGGTTAAGCTGCAAAAGCACCCCCCGTGTAGCTTGGAAGATTTTGATTAAACTCTACAAGTTGAATGTAACCAAACACTGTCCACGAGTTTTTTGAAGCTATAATCCAAACTATCCAACTTAATAGCTTTGTCAAACAGAATCGTATGGTTGTTAAAATCAATCTAAAACAAACTTGATCCAATTCATTATTGTGGCTACACAAACTCACATCAGGTGACACTTAAGTTCCATTCTTGAAATTAATTTTATGAACTCTGACTTTATCAATTAGGTTGAACCCCTTCCCACCTGATATCTTAATCCCCAAATTAGTTTCTCTAGTGATGGAGTGACAAGGAATCATATGAGGATATGATTTCTTGGAACCTAAAACTAAGTGGGAACTCTTTAATCAATAACTTTTGTTCACGTAACCTTGTAGGTTTTCAATATCAAGTCATTCGAACCCTACTGGGATTTCAGAATGGGGCTTTAGTTGAATTGAAGGATCCCATGGCTAGTAGGCTTCCAGTTTTGGTTACATGGCATTGGCTAGAGGTTAAGTGGGCTGATCAAAGATTTACTTGACCCATTCGAATTTGTCTCGCTTACAAAAACAGATTCTCTTTTTCTATTTATAGTTTTGGGTGGGTAGGAAGTGGGAAAATTGACCAAATAGATAGGGATTCAACATTAATAGAATCGGCTGTTAAAGCTTAAAATTCAGCTGTCAAACTTGAATTGTTACAGAAATATATAACTGACCTCATTAAATAAAGAGTCCATTGTTTAGTTACCTTACCTCAAAGGAAATTCATCAATATAATATTTAAAAATATAATCAGTATGTCACATAGTAAGCACCCACAGTTTTATAAGCTTGACAGAAGATAATATGAAGTCCATTCACAGCAGACAGCACCAATAACGGTAGTGTAGCATCTGACTGGTGCTCTAACTTCGCAACATCATGAGTAGAAGCAAGCCACTACACCATTCATGGCAACATATATGTTAGAATTTCTCATCTTTACCTTCACCTACTACCACATTACCTTCACCTACTCCACTACACACTCCACTTCACCTACCTCTACTCCACTACACACTCCACTTCACCTAACCCACTATCACCTCCACTACACCTACTACCACATTTTCTTCTATATATAGATTGTATAGGAATTGTAATTAATGCATCTTGTAATCTATCAATCAAGACATCAATCAATAATACATAAATTCTTACAATATATAGCTTCTATCTTGTGAAATAGACTCATTCTGAGGAGCTGAAAAGTCACAGTTGTGGCATCAATAAGAATGCAATCACTCTCTAGTATCCATAGAGCCTGCACCTCTGCACTGAAGCTAGTCCTTTTTGTTATCTCTTTCCTCTATTTGGCATCGGATACCTTTTTGACAACAGAATACAGAGTTTGCAATTTCAACGCAACTTTTGCACAAGTTCTAATGCTTCAGCGAAAATTACAATCACCTTCCAGAAAAAAATAAATTCAAGAATTGAATCTACTTAATCAAAAACACATCAGGACTTAATTATTTCTTCCATTACACTAAAGTTATTATTTTTGTTTCTTCCCATAATTATATTTCATTTCATGATTATTAATTTATGTTTTGTAAAAACCAAGAACCATGCAAACTACTTTCCTGGAGAGACCAACATTGTCTATCAATAGAAACACGAGCTCCTTAAGGTATGAAAGTGCTACAGTACTTTCTAATTATTAATGAACAATTTCATCGAGAAAAAGAAAACCTAAAAAAGGAGGGGGGGAAATTGATATTACTCTAAGATCAACATAACTAACGTTTGGAAATCATGCAGTAACATATGTTAGAAATAAATAAGTAAAGATAGTACATGCCTGCCCATTTTCTTGTTAATCCAGTTAAGCAAGCGATCAGCGGTTCGTCCATCATCAATAGAATGTATCTCATTTTTGTCTTGTTTAGGCTCCCAACCACCAGCAACAAATTTAGAAGGAAGGCCCCACAAAAGCATGGGATAACGATCAACGGAGAACCTTTTGCAAAGTTCATTATTTGTCTGTGCTGCCAAACAATTGAAAAGAAGAGGAAGTAATTACTAAGCCACACATGTCAAAAAGAGTGGGTTTCAATGTATGCTATATATAAAAATAATAATAGTAATAATAATAAGAGGGTATAATAGACTGATTCAAAAGATTAACAAATTCACGAAAAAATTGTACTGAAACTTAGTCAGGACTCATGCCCATGGATGCTCACCACGTCTTGGGTCCTCCCTCTTTCACGAGCTCTCTCATCCTCTCTAATTGCACTAGGGAAGTTGGGGAGGGGTGAGGGGGTGGCAACAGAGGCTAGGGAGGAGAAGGTGGCTGGAGGTGGTAAGGACATGGCTGGAGCCTGGAGGTGGTAGGAAGGGGTGGGTGGAGGTGGTGAGTGGGTTAAGGTTAGGATTACTAGGGTTTTCACATGACTTAGGTAGAAGATGAAGGCCAGGGCAATTTTGTCTTTCCATATTAGAATTCGGCTTACAATTTTTTTTCTCCCCCAACTCTCAAAAGAAGGGCATGTGGCACCATTTTTGTCTATTTGGATAGAAAATCTAACAATAGCACTTTAGCGTAAAACCACGCAGGGTGTTTGGGTATTTGACTATTTTTAAAAGACATGGCTAAAGTGCCCCAGGACTATATCACAGGAGGGTAAAATGAATTTTTCTCAATATTTTAAATTGTGAAGTTGAATTCTTCAATGGAGTTGAATTCTTGAAATTTTGCATGAAGTTTTTTTGTAATGTATTATACAACCTTACAGCTCCATTCAATTGATGGGAAAGTGTAGTAAAGGATGAGAAATCAACTTTCCGGCATTTTTTTTCATGTTCAATTAGCAAGAAAGTTGTGGGACCTACATCTCCAACTTTCCCACTAGATATAGTTTCTCTCAAAACTGATCCTGCAAAAAACAAAAGATTCAGCACAAAACTAAAATAACTTTTCTTTTCCTAACAAGTGAACACAAGCGGAAAAATAATTTTCTTTTCCTTCACTTCACTCCACTGCATATTGCCTGAGAAAAACCTTCCCACATTAAATTCCCAACAACTGAACAGCGCCTAAGAGGTAGCTCCTAAGGAATTCTAGGTAAAATTACTATATTATTTGTTCTTCTTCTCCTTCTTCCTTACAAAGCTATGAAATCCTATTATCGGCAAACTTTGTCCTCAATCTTGGAACAGGCCCAATTCCAACTACAAAACCATACCCAATCAATGCCCAAATCATCAACCTTTTCTCCTTCCCTATGGCAATTTATTCCACACCTAAAACCCTTAAAAGCTTTGTTGTTTAGAGAATTCCATAACCTATGTTCTAAATATCAGGCAACCATAAACTTCCTGAATTGAGTTGATTTCAATCTTACTGAGATAAAAACTTTCAAAAATTTCTTCTACCTAATGGCACGCTGACACCAAAAGCTTTCCTTGACATAAACCCACCGAAAAAAAAAATTTGTACTTGGTTAATCCAAGTTTAATAAAGTCACCCTACATCATACCCTGAACTGCTTGATTGAACAAATCAACCCTCCTAAGATGCTTGTTTTTTAGTTTAGAACAGTTTATACTTATTTATGTGATTGTTTAGTCATACCCAATACACAAGGCTCACGCTTACACAAGGTCTTAGAGACGTACAATGAGAAACTAAAAGGTGATTTCAGTAATATGATGACCAATAAAAGAATACCACCACTTAAGAAGGAAATATCAAGAAAGCATAGCAACAATACCTTCAATGCACAGTCTACCCTTGTCATCAATATAATCCCTGGATGAACTGCTTCAGGTCCATTGAAAAGTCTTGCTACCTTTTCGTAATGGAGCTGCAAAGTTGTAGCTCAAGTAATAAGAAACATAAGAAAACATTAATTTATGATGCTAAACACAACATTCAGCATAGTACATACCTTGTAATTTCTGCAAGCTGGGCACCTGCAAGACCAAGCAAAGCATGTAAAGAACTAATACTGTCAACAGAAAGTTCAGCACTAAGTACCAACATGCCAGCAGAATCTAAATTGTTTGGTTGTTTCCACAAGAAACGCAAACTGATGTGACCACAAAAACAAATCCATTGAACTAAGTAAAAGCAATGAAAGTGTGATTCTCTTTTCCCAAAAATGATACATGCATTCAATGCAAAACCTAAGTCTGGTACAATAGTATGGTCTTCTTGGATATAAAGCTCAAAAATAATAATAATAATAATAAAACTTTATAAAAATTATCTTAACACTTTATTTAAGGTACTAAAAAGCTAGCTAATTTTCAGTTAATTAACAAAATGCTCCCTTTCTTCCCCCTTGGGCAGTACTGCAGTACTCATGAGGAGCATGAAATGCATCTCTTCTATAGTTTATGGGGTATCTACCATGTTGCGTAAATAAACAGGTTGACATCTTCTTTTCTTTTTTTTTCTTGCCATGGAAGCTTGATGTGGTGGTGTAAATCACCCATGGTTGTCACTTCATTTACAAATCCTTTTTTTTTTTTCTGCTTTTTGCTATGGCAGCTTGATGTGGTGGTGTAAATTTCCCATGGTTGTCACTTGTCCTTTACCAATCCAATCTCCTATGGGCTTCCAAAGGAAAAGAAGCAGAAGCATGATGCGACTACTGCATATAGTATACTGGCTGTAAACTTTTTATGGATAAATGGGAACTGGGATGTCATAACACTAATAAAAAAATCTAACATATTTTAATAGCAGAAATAACCATTCGTTTTCTTATTTTAATACTGCACAATTAAAATCTTGTCACAGGAAATTGAGAACTTCATTTTACCCTTCTAGTTGTACAATAATAGACAACTATAACAGAATTGAATTGTGTTCAAAGATTCATGTTAAACAGGTTTCATTTAACATGTGATATTCAACAGATCGTGAACTTTTTTTCGGTGCAACGGCAACTTTCTAATAGCAGATGAAGTTCTTTTTACCATCTAGTGTTATCTCTCTATTTATGATTCATGACTAACTTTGCTGAACCCATGGAATTCCTTACCACTAAAATCAAGGGATTCTAACTCTCAGGAAGACTGGATAGTATTGTCAAATGATATATGAACACATTTCAATTGTCTTACAAGAACATTGAAATCACTGATGTGCTCAATCGTGCCAAAGGTTTTTCCCACATCTGTTGGAAACTACCATTCCCATTGCAAAAAAAAAAAAAAAAGAGCAATGCTGCTAGAGCGACGTTTGATCTGACTAGGGGTGAAACTTAGGTTGGCCAAACCCAAGTAACTGGAGCCCAGCCTGTAAGATTTTAGGGCTTCTTAGTAAATATATATATTGAAACACAAGTTTGGGAATGAGCTAAGATTTCCAACCCAAATTAAAATATGGGCTACTCTTAGGCGGCGATCTTCAGCAACATGAGCAACCCAAGCCTGAGTTCTATATTATAGATTGTATTATATATATAAATATATAAATTACATCAGCCTCTCCTCTAACTCAAATCATTGGACTAAATCCAACCACAATATCTTAACCCTAATCAAATCACTTGAGTCTTCCCCGCCCTTTTTTTTTTCTTTTTTTTTTTGCTTCAGCCCTCAACCGCCACACAAGACTCTTCATGGAATTTTTGAAGGGGAAAAAAATTAGGTGTTGGACACCCTGCAAGAGCGGCCTCTCTAGCATCCTTCTAGACTATAGATCGCATTTTCAAGCGAAGAAAACTGAAAATCTTTATATCAACAATACAGTTACACTAAAGCGGCCTTCACATTTCAACACAATACATCTCCTCATCACTTGCTTGATCATCTTCACCAAAATCAAGATCTACACTCCCATATCGACAGCATTTATTCTAAATTGTATCAAAAAACCAAATAAAAGGGACTGGCACCAAAAAACAAGAACAGAGTCACCATCCTCTTATAACAAGCATAAAAGTTTGCTCTACCAAAAACTTATCTGATTTAACTTTGACTGGATTCTCTATCCTAATTATTGCCAATAGACTACAATCGCAGATGGCTTCTCCAGTACCCAAGTTTTAAAATAGTATTTCAAAGCTATTAGAAAAAACTACAATTTTTTCAGAAACCCCTAACCCTAATCTTACCAATTTAGCTCAGTGTATAGTTCTACATTTATCTAAAACATGAAGCACCAAAGTTTAATCAACCATCAAATCAATTTCCCTTCTAATAGTTCCAAACTTTTATCACACTATGTTTGATAACCTAAGAGATAATACAAAGAATTTAACTTTACAAAAGGCATTTCTTTATTCAATAATCACAAAAAAAAATACAGAGAATCAAAGACTGGATCGAAGTAAAATCTCAATTTTAAAAACCCTAAAGAAGCAAAGTGACAGACCAGTTAGCGAAGAATTCGACAATGGCGTAGGTAGCTTGAGTCTCCTTAAGAACTGAATCGAAATTGGCAACATTTAGATCGAGCGCGACGTCTGGATGATCAGCGTTGTTGTCGTTGATAGACCTGAGAATTGAACGAGGCACAATTGAAGCTGGTGACGATGCTTGGAAGCTCAAGAGGAACAGAGCCAGAAACATAAGAACAGACGACATGGAAGAACAAGAGAGAAAGAGAGAGAGAACGTGAATTTTGAACTGTGTGATTTTATGGTCTGTGTCGGCTAGTCGAAGTAGTAACGTTTGGGGGCTTCGTCGGAGGTTTCAAAAGTAGGGGCGATCTGGTTGACCCAACGTGTCCCTCCGGGACTGTTCGAAATTATGAATCAGTTTTAAAAGGAGGGAAGGGAAAAATAAATAAATAATTGGGAAAAAAAATGCAATGGTTAGATTCTGTTTGTTTACAGTGAGAGAAAGGGAAAAAAAATTAACTCTTACAAGTTTGTTTAATTTGAAAGTGGTGGAAAGTAGAAGAAAATTAAAGTCTTGTTTATCATAATTTAATAAAAGTTAAAAAGTTACTATCCTATTTAAGTCACATCATCTTATTTAAGTCATATCACCTTTCTAACACATCACTTCAAATTCAACCCATATTTCATAAAAAGTCAAAAAGTACACTTATTTAGATCGTGTCAAACCACACCTAACTTTCTTGTACAATTCTGTTAGCTTATTTTTCCTATAAAGAAAAATATCATAAATACGAACGTGCCAGCAAAAATTAAAAAATCTTTGCAAATTAAATTTAAGTCAATTATCAAGCGATTGTGTTGATGGTTCTTTTACCTCAATGAAAATGACTTCAAAATTGTCCAATGTAGAGAAAATAAAATTAAAAGAAGAATGAGGGAGACGGAAAAAGATGATTGAGTGAACAATCAAACTAACTATTAATTTACCTCTACTCATATGCTTTGAAAATGAAGTGCATAAAATAAAGTGCAGAAAATTAACATTTACTCTTATTTTTTGAAAATAAAGTGCATAAAATAAAGTGCAGGAAATATAAATGATAAGAAAAATATAAAGTAATTGTCTTTGATTTGAGTTATGTATCCTTTATAAGAGCATCTCCAACCCACTAGGTATATCATGCTTGTTAGTCAAAATGCCTAGTATAACTCATTTTTTTCAACTCCAATGCACTAGGCATATAATTAGGTAGCTCAACTCACATTCAATAGCTACATGTAGAGCATCTCCAACGGTAGTAGGCATTTTACCTATCTAAATATTACTATAAAGTATATATTTTATTTTGCCTATTAACTATTTTATGTTTTTACTCCAACCATGTTCTTTATTTTAGCTATTTATCCAAATACTATTAATTTTATAGAATGCCACATCAACAACAAAGATAGAGGGAAATGATCCTAATGATTGAATACATTTTGCCTAGCGTTGTTAGTCAAAATGCCTAGTATAACTCATTTTTTTCAACTCCAATGCACTAGGCATATAATTAGGTATTTTAGCTCAACTCACATTCACTAGCTACATGTAGAGCATCTCCAACGGTAGTAGGCATTTTACCTATCTAAATATTACTATAAAGTATATATTTTATTTTGCCTATTAACTATTTTATATTTTTACTCCAACCATGTTCTTTATTTTAGCTATTTATCCAAATACTATTAATTTTATAGAATGCCACATCAACAACAAAGATGGAGGGAAATGATCCTAATGATTGAATACATTTTGCCTAGCGTTGAAGACTAGCTACATGTAGCTAGTGAATATGAGTTGAGCCAAAAGAGACTAAGAGAATTGAGATGCATTGAAACCTAGTCTTGAAGGCTAGCTACGAGCATCTCCAATGCACTAGGCATATAATACGAGTAAAGATCCTCTAGAGTGATTTTTTCCTAAAGTTTCCTAGAGTGCTACATTGTGTGGTTGAGATTTACTGGCAAGTCACATCAGAAAAATTAATGTGACTTGTCAGTAAATCTCAACCACACAATGTAGCACTCTAGGAAACTTTAGGAAAAAATCACTCTAGAGGATCTTTACTCGTATTATATGCCTAGTGCATTGGAGATGCTCGTAGCTAGCCTTCAAGACTAGGCAAAATATATTTAATCATTAGGATCATTTTCCCCCATCTTTGTTGCTGATGTGACATTTTATAAAATTAAGAGTATTTAGATGAATAGCTAAAATAAAGAGCATGGTTGGAGTAGAAACATGAAATAGTTGATAGGCAAAATAAAATATATACTTTATAGTAATATTTAGATAGGTAAAATGCATATTACCGTTGGAGATGCTCTAATGTAGCCATAAATGGCTATTTATAGGCAAACATTTGTAAAAAAAATTACCTAAAGCTACCCACTCTTTTACCTCCTCCATTTCATACTCCATGATCTTCCAGAATTTCTTTTAACCTCCACTTCATGCTCCATGTTTTCCACTTTGTTTTCCATCATCTTTCCACATTTCATAACTTCTCCAAATGAATAGGAGGGTGCCACATGTCCTGCAATTATATAAATAATAAATAATAAAATTGTAAATTTATGGTGCCAACATTACCCACACGACCATTAAAAATTATGTTTACTTGAATTTTTGAAGGGCCGAATCAAGCACATGACTAATCTAAGCAATAAAGTGCTTTGAATAATATCAACAAAGTGCTTCAAATGATATAATAACACCAAATGTTCACAATTTTGTCGGTTGAATGCAAGAGCCATTGTTTGACTACAGCTGAAGCACACATATTGTCATTATTTTTGTGTTTTTTGTGCCTTAAAAAAAATAAATAAATTTGGCTATCAATTTGAAAAAATAAGCCATTCTCAACAACTAATTCAAATACATAGGTTTGTCCTAACCAAGTTCAACATTTCAAATGGCTAAGTTGTTCTTTAGTGTATCAAACTCATCAAAACAATGCTTAAAGATAATTACTTTATTAGCTATATCAAAATTAAATTTTGATGTGAACCACAAATCCAAAAGGATTTTGAACACCAAAAATCATAGTACAAGATGACCTTAAAAATTTCAACAGCTTGACATTTTGAATAATTTTAAAAAATGCAAATTCATGTATATTAAATTGTTCATCATTCTTAGCCATGTTTGGCTTGAGAACATATTCGTTGGCCAAATAACTTTCATTATGAGGTTAGTTTTTCTATTTTATCTATAAAATAAATTGATGTATTATTGATTAATTGTATTGATTGATATATCTGTATATTACAATTCCTATATATATAGAGGAGAAGATGGTAGTAGGTGTAGGTGGTAGTGGAGGTGGTAGGTGGAGTAAGTGGTAGTGGAGGTGGTAGGTGGGTGGTAGTTTACATTTTACAATTTACATTTTACATTAACAGCCCCCCTCAAACTCAAGGAGGATTGCAAATAGCCTTGATAGATAAATTTCTATGGGGATCAATAGGTCCCTTCTTCAACCACACAAGAATCCCATCTATTATCCTGTAGCCCATATTTACTTTTAGTAGTTGTATGCCATAAGGAATTGCTTTCCTGTGGAATTCTCCATAACCACTTTCCATGCAATGCAATATTCTTTTCAATGATGTGACCCATACCAAGTCCTTCCTCACTATTAGGGAGGGAAACTACATCCCAATTGACCAAATGGTCTTTCCTCCTTTTGTCACTGCCCTCCCTTAGAAAATCTCTCAATATACCTTCTCAATCTTATTAACTGTTAGCATTTACCATAACCCACTCCACCTACCACCTCCACTACCACACACACTCACCTACTTCACCTACTTCACCTACTTTCCTACACCTACCACACACACTCACCTACTCCCAAATCCTCTCCTATATAATAGGAAGCCTTGTAATATCAATAATACAAAAATGCAAATTCATGTATATTAAATTGTTCATCATTCTTAGCCATGTTTGGCTTGAGAACATATTCGTTGGCCAAATAACTTTCATTATGAGGTTAGTTTTTCTATTTTATCCATTAATGGATTATGAAAATCCTCCATGTGAATTTCATCATTTCTTGGTCTAATGGGTTGTTCCATTTCAGCCATTAATGGCTTAAAGAAATCCTCCATACGAGTTTCATTATTTTTTGGCTTAATGGGCTATTCCATTTTAGCCATTAATGGCTTATGAAAATCCTTCATAGACATCTTATGTCCATGGTTTGACTACCTAAGAATGGATTTTTCAACCCCCCCGAGTCTTGTATGGAACATTATTTTTTACCATGCTTGGCTTAACAACATATTTTTTAGCCATGTTACTTTCATAAATTGGCTCTTTAAAAATAAGTTTTTTAACCCCACGAGCCATTAATGAAATCAACTATTTGCTTTTGCAATTTTTAACCATGAACAAATTCTGAAAAAATTTACCAATTTCGGCCATTTAAGTCTCAGTTAAAGACTTGGTAGTGAGAATTGACAACTCATCATTCCATTGGTGAATTTTCATATCAAGTTGATGAATTTCTCCAATTAAATGGTGTCTTTTTTCTTCCACCAAATAATATTGTAAGGGATGAAAGTTTATTTCATCAAGAAAATAGATCTCTTCTTAGACATCCAAAATTTTTTGTTTATACCAAAAGATTTCATCTAGGCTATTTAAAATGGACGAATCTAATTCATTTTTCATTTCTTACACTTGACATCCCTCTGGTGCTAAAAATTGTTGACTTATTTTTCCTGTGAAGGAAAATATCATAAATGTGAGAAAGCCAGTAAAGATTGAAAATCCTTACATATTAAATTCAAGCCAATTATCAAGCGATTGTATTGACAGTTCTTTTGCCTTAATGAAGAGGACTTCAAAATTACTAAGTATAGAGAAAAGAAAAATTAAAAGAAAAAGGAAGGAGGCGGGAAAAGTTGATTGAGTGAACAATCGAGGTGATTGAGTGAACAATCAAACTAACTATTAATTTACCTCTACTCCTGTGTTTCGAAAAGTAAGTGCATAAAATTAATCTTTACTCCTATGCTTCGAAAATGAAGTGCAGGAAATATACATGGCAAGAAAAATATAAATCAATTGTCTTTGATTTGAGTTATGGATCCTTTACAATATAGCCATGTTTATAGGCAAACATTTGTAAGAAAAAACTACCTACTCTTCCACTTCCTCCGTTTCATACTCCATGATCTTTCATAACTTCCTTCAACCTTTATTTCATGCTCTATGTTCTCCACTTTATTCTCCATCATCTTTTCACATTTCATAACTTCTCATAACCTCCAAATGAGTAGGAGGGTGCCACATGTCCTACAATTATATAAATAATAAATAATAAAATTACAGATTTATGGTGCCAACAAATTCATATTA